TAGGCAGGGAAGACTTTGACATCATGCCATCCCGCGCGTGCTAGAGACCCAACGACAACACCATAGCCATATCAATGATACCATCCCTTTGCGCACAGTCCCCTCTCTCTCTGCCTGCCGCTTCCCTCTCCCCCTCCCTCTGACCAGCCTTTCCATATACGCGGTACGAAAGCACAAACCCCCCATTCACGCACATCGTCCATCTATCCGTACCACGGTATCCAACATCAAGGACGGCACTAACGTAGTGTGAAAAAAAATTGCCCCCGCCCCCTCTCTCCCGTAAACGTTTTTCCAACGAATGTTTGTAGCAATGATTGAAGCAAGGGACCAGACTAGAGAGGAAGAATCAGGGAAGGACAAGACCAAAAAAAAAAGATCCGAGCGGCTCGCCATGACAACAAAGTGACCCCAGGGTTCATCCCATCATAATTCAACCACACTGACAACTTCAAAGTGCCAAGACGTCCAAACTCTTCCGTCAAAGTTCAATCCCGTTCCAAGTCTCCGGGGCCCCTTCAAAGTTCTGGAATCAATGTTCCAAAACGAAAATGGGCTGCTTGCCTTATCCTGCGTATCACTACGTCTGGTAATGAACTTCAGGTACCCTGTTATCAAGGAAAATCCAGACCTCGGCACTCCGTTCCAGAACATGCAATCCATATCACCACTATTCCCTGCTACGCCAGCCTACGCAGTAACCGCCTGTTTCGTTTCAAATGGCCCTATAACGACCACCATATTACTGTAATCCAAACCTCGGAACATCCGACGAAGGAAGGGAAGGAGGGGGTCCGACCGTTAGTAGGGCTTAAAGCTAGTTGGCTATCAGCCAGGTTCCTGGGTCAAGTCAGACTCTTGTCAGAGGCTCAGAGCCACGTTGACTGTTCACATAATCCGTATTCCTTAGGTACTACGTTTCCTACTCTACTCGATAGTGTACCAACCTTCACTCCGCAGTCATGATCTAGACGATCCATCAATCTGGTTCGAGACTCGTCCACTGTGCCGGTTGAGTGCTTATCATGCCCGTCAGAGTGACTGACACTTGGCACCTAGTCCCCCCTTCATGCGTGCCGTGCTCACAGTAGGTAACACTGCATCCCCTCCCTTTCTGTGACACAAGGTGCATGTCACCAACGCAGCCCATCACTCCCTCGTGGCCATGCACCCACCACATGGGGAATCACTGGAGAGTTTGAGCGGACGTCGATTCTTTATGATTTCTTTTTTTTTTAGTTGAATTGGCCTATTCTGTTGACGCTTTGCGCGTGAGTGCCTCCTCCCTTCTCCCACTTGACGATGCTACCCTATGCAACTCCTTGCTTCCCCCCCCCCCCCTTTTTAGGTAAAAGATCTGCCATCTCTCTAGACCTTTCTCTCCTCCAACGTATCCGTAATACTGAGTCAAATGTGACAGGCGGAAAGGGCGGTTAAAGGCCCTGATTCCTCTCCGACTACCACATTACCCCTTCCCCCCGGCCCCCATATGCTTCTTCTAACAGTGACTCCCAGCTCTAATACAATTACCCCAGAAAAGGTCGCTTTGGAAGAATTTTGTTGAGATAGGAAATAATAGACACTATGGAATTTCGGCAGTATACAGATTGAATGGGGGTATAAGAAACAGTGCTGTTTTCTAAGTTCATTATGCAGGTGTTGTTGTTTGCAATCTTGCTGCCTGTGTCTAACGGGCGTTTGGTAAGATTTGCGATTCGAGAGCATCGGGTCCGAGCATGGTCGAAAGGAATGGTGAGCGCTATGCCGGTCCTCGACGGACCTTATTCCAAAAGCGCTTCATGACGCCTCGGTCGTTGGCCTGAGCGTTTTCCTGGTCCATGGCCGCGAACTGACGTTCTATGCTCTCCTTTGACGACGCATCTCGGACGTACGTCGACGTCGGAAATTCGTCTCGTAGGCCGTTCGATTGGGATTTCCTGGGCGGTAATGGCTTCTGTTGCCAGCCGTACATTTGATCTTCGTGGGCTCGGAGGTCGGGTCGGGTGAGGGTCATGCGCAGTGTCATTTCTCTCGCCTCTGCCGGCATCCGTGCGTATTCCGTTGATGGTTTGGGTGAATGAAGCTGATCATTCTTGATGGGCGGCGGCCGAAGCGCTGTCATCTCCACTGTATGGGGTGTCTTGGGAGAATCCGAATCAAGGGATCCATCATCGCTGAAGATCGACGACCGATCGTCGGCGAGAAAGGTGCGGAGATTTTCTGACTCGTCCACCAACGCTGCCCTAGATTGTCGATGTTTCAATGGCTTGACGTCCTTGCTAGGCTTGGTGGTGATCATGGCTTCTTTTGAAGGAAACCCGAACTCGATGGCTTCGTCAAACTTTTGAGGGGAGGCCAGATATACTCGCAGCTTCAGCCGGGCCTCGGGATCTTGGTAGTGTGCAGCCTCCGGATCAAAGGCAGCTACAGTGTCCTGGGGACTATGCTTTGGTGAAATCAGAGACAGCGCCCGTGATCTTCGCCGGCCGTGTCCCGGAGAGCTTGTCTGAGGGCTGACTGGAGAACTCGAAAACAATGGGGTCGTGGGATGGCTTGCGCCGGCGGGTGTCGTACCGGGGCGGTTGGTGGAGAGCGAGTTGCGGCCGAACGGTATCTTTGATATGGACAGGTGCCTACGAAACGACGGCCTGCGCTGTTTCGAGTTGGCTGGTAGATCCTCTCGCAAATTGGCATGGTAATCGTCGAGATGTAAACGCAGGTCTAGGTCGTCATCCTCCTCCAACCAACGGAAGCTGTCGTAAAAGGAGTCCCGCTTCTTCTGAGCTTCAAGGGGCTTCTTCTCTTCCGACTTGGGCATTTGTTTCCTCGTATCCTGGCTCGGCCGCCGAGACTCCATCGTCGAAGGTCTCACCGATAGAGTCGGACTCCACAACTCGTCTTGAACAATTAGGCTAGAGGCTCGTCTTCGAACTTTGTAGATGGCCTCATCAGCCGGGTCAAGGATGATGTCGTGTCTCCGGTTTCGAGAAGCAACAATCTGCTCTTCGGTAGTCAAGTGCCTCTTCCGAATCTTGTCGGGCAGTCGTACGTAGACGGAGGAGCTCGTCGAAGCGCGGAAGTTGGCACGTCGGGAAGGCCGTCTCTTGACACGGTCGGACACTTGGTCGGATGCAAGTCTGGCTTGACGTTCTTTACGGCGCTGCTTTAATGTCTTTGGTGTGGGTGCGGTGTCTGGACGATCAAAGTAGATGTCGATATGTGTGGATGGCGGAGTAGGGGCCGGAGCAAGACTGGCAAAGTGAAGACGTTCGAGGGAACTAAAGTACTGAAGAAGGATTTAGTAAGAGTTGTGAGTGAGATGAGGAAGAAAAAAAAGATACAAAGGCGTGGTCGGGAATGTAGATGGGGGCAAGAATGGAATTGAGAAACAAGGAGGGTATGTAGTGTCTTAATGCAGGAACGAGCAGAGGGAGGGAGACGTCGTGTTTCCTCCACTTGCACTACTAAAAGTAGAGTATGGAGTATGGGACTGGAGCCAGAGACTGTGCTCGTCCGCACCGCACCGCACCTATGTCGTGTTGCGTCGTGTTGCGTCGTGTTGCGGTGGTGCTTATGAGCGGGACCTGCATTGCATCTGCTGAGGTGCATGACGGATGGAGCAGCTGCCGTACCATACTGAGGACAGGATGTACGAAGGTACAGAGACACGCAGACACAGGAAGGAATCACTTTGGAATGGACATTGGCTGGCCTGGAGCGGGTGCGATACCGCAGTCATCAAGCTGCAGTACCCATAGGCAGAGATACTTTGAGAGAGAGAGGAGCACTTGCTCGAATCAACTTTGAACGCCATCCCAATACATCGAGATCAGCGACGCTCGAACTCAATTCAGCCCCCCGGCCTTCAAGGGACAAGCTCGGGGTTCTGGGATTGGGATTGCTTCTACAGGCAATCTAGGAATAGCCCGGGAGCTGACCCATGACTTTGGACGCAAAGCTCCAAACCGTCAATTGAGACAGGAGGGGCGGCTGGGTGCCAGGGGGGGAGAAGACCGGAAGGCAAAGACAAGTACGTAGGAGGGAGCTATGGCGGTAGTTCCTTGACTTGCGTGGGAGAGTGAGTGAGGGAAAGTGAGGGAGAGAGCGTGAGAGAGTCCGTGATGCATGTCAAGTCAGGTCAGTGCATCAGCACCATGCTCAGCGTCAGTGCGGATGCATGTGCCGTGCGTGCATAGTGACTATTCTCAAGGAGAGACGACAGACAAGACGACGCAGACACGGACGGCACACGCCATGCGGGAATAGCTCTAGAGTCCACGCCGCACCAAGTTCACCAAGAGCATTTGCGGCTTAGCTCGCTTGTCCGTTCAGCCAGCGGCACCACTTGGTGGCCCGGGTGGGTTCCATAGAATGTGGGAATTGGGATGTGCTGCCGACCAAAAGAGATAGGCCCGCCGTTGCAAATATGAGTAATGATGGGTGAGGAGGGAGTCCGAGGAGGATCGGGGGTTTGGACTGAGTGGACGAACGAGGGAATGGGGAGAGACATGACGGATGGTTGGGCCCAGTTTCTGCACTCGAGTGAGACATGTCGTTCGGGCTTGGGTTGCACGACGGCACGGGAACTGTTCATGGCTGAACTGGCAGGCCGGGGTACGTTGTGTGTGTGAAAGCGAGAGTGAGTGTAAGAGTGAGAGAGAGACATGAGAGAGACACGCCTCATGTTGTGCTGATAGTGCAATATCGAACTGTGCAGCACGTATGGGGGGAAGGCAAGCCGAATGAGACCCGACGGTGTAAAGACCAGACTTGACGAGCAACGAGTGATGAGATGATGAGATTGGACGACTTGGTCTTGTTGTTGATGATGGTGTTGTTGATGTTGTGATGACAATACACTCAACAACACGATGCGATTCGTCATATGCGAGTTCGTGAACGACTGCCGCCGCGTCGGTCTGCATCGTGGCCTGCGCCCCCAATCCCCTCATCTTCAGCTATGTGCGGAAGGGGAGAACGCTCTCTTCAGCGGTTGGCAGCTATGCATATGCATGAGCATGAACGCAGATATGGACAGAAGAGGGGACCTTGTGCCACCCGCGCCTATGCCTTGTGCCTGACGCCAATGCTGACTGGCCGCCCCCCCCCCCCCCCGAGCGAATGAAGGTGATATTGGGAGCCGAGTGCATGAGGGTGTGGGGACGAAAATGCGAGTTGGGGGCAGAGAGAGATTGAAGAACGAGATGTGCTGGGTGTTGGTTGGACGGAAAGGTGATGATTGTGAGCTGCTTCCCGGGGGAGAGGGCCCGAAGCAGGCTGTTCTTTTCTCGGGTGCATGTCTCAGTGGACAGTTCACTTTCACTCTCGCTCTCCTCACTCACTCTCACTCGCTGTAAGTGTATCCTCTCCGCGGCGCCGATGCTGCAGTTGGGCAACGACTCGGCGAGCCAACCTGCATCGATGGGTACCTGAACGGCCCCCCAGCCGCGAGTCCCCGCTGCAGCTATACGGCGGAACTCGGGCGGCTGTGGTTGGCGAGGTGAAGGTACCCTGGACTTGGGTCGGAGACTCATTGGAGGAGACGAATAGCTCTGTCCAGGGTCGGTCTGGACCTTTCCAGCCAGCTAGCCAGCAGAAGAGCGAGCGGTGATGAGTGTGAGGTCAGACGGGCAGACAAAACTCTCGTCTCTCATCCTCATCCTCATCTCATTTCACTCCCTCGACTCGAACGCTCAGGAATCCGAAAAGAAGGCGGAGAGAAGGCGCCTCGACTCGCCTCGCCTCGCCCTCGTCTCCTTGTGACCGGCCGAGCGCACTTTCATCCGTGTCCCTGACAACTCTCCCTACTGCAGTCTGTGCCTCTATTTCTGCCCAGGGCTGGGCCAAATGGCCACGGGAAATACGCCCGTGCAGAGCAGAACAGGGCCGAGGACGAGAAAGAAACAAAATGAAGTGGAATAAAACAAAAACGGGCGCCGTAGTTCCGTCCTCAAATTTGAAGAGATGGCGTGTCTCTCGGCTCAAACTTCCTCGGCTGGGGGGAGGGGGGCTGGCTAGCTGGCTGCGCTAAGTAAAGCAACGAGAGACTCGGCACTTGCGAATAAAGGAATGCTGCCCATTGGGACGGCACATGGGAATGGCAGATATTTGGGGTTGATAGAAAAGTGCTCGAGCGAGGAGCCGTAAAGAGAAAGAGACAAAGTGCAAAGGCGGACAATTAGGAACGAAATAATCAGAAATAGAGAGCACCAGAGAAGACAAAGCGAAGTCTCCGTTGGGGATAAATCAGGTCCACAAAGAAAGGGGAAAACAAGATCACACAAATAAAATGTCTTTGCTCACCTTTCGCTGAATAGCTTCCGGCAACGCCTCGAATTCTTGCTTCGTCATCTGCGCCCCAAAGGGCCCTGACGATGAAGGCGACACCGGCGGAGGCGGCACAGTAATTGTTGCTGATCCGGTGGTATTGACCTTTGCCGGCTTCACAGCCATCGTCGCCGAGTTTGCGGCAGACACCGTCGTCGCCGTGGTCTTCTTGCTGCCGCTGCTGTTGCTCTTCTCGTGACTTTTGCCGCTCCTCAGTGTCGACGTCGTCGAGTTGGCGGTCGCGGTCGCGGTAGAGCCAGTGCCAGAGCGGGAACCCGACTCGGAGCTCGTCCGGGGAAAGTGAAAGTGCTGGTGGCTCCTCGACGAGTCGGGCCGCAAGTAGAGGTTATGATATGACGATGACGAAGGGGACTGTTTATGCTGTTGCTGGCTCTGTTGCTGTTGCTGCTGGTTGTGCTGGAGCAAACGCAGATCGGGCGAGCTGTACCCGTCGAGTCCGTGATGCAAATAGTTCCAGAGGCCGTGAGACCGGTCCACGCTATCTTCGCTGGTCCGTCCACCGGCCGCCGTCCCCGCTGTTGCTACTGCTGTCTTCTTGCCATTGCTCTTAGCGGCGTTGTTGTCACCTCCCCCAATGCTGAGGAAGCTGTTGGTAATGGTCGTTGGCGCCATTGTCGCCGTTGTCGTGGTGGCTGTCGATACCGATGTCGTTGTAAAAGTCAAATTTGTTGCTGTTGTCGTTGTCGAAGACGAAAAGCTCGAGCGTGCGGAAGAGTAAAACGAAGTATTATTACGGATACTATTGGAAATAATGTCGGTGCTGGTGCTTCTGGTGGTTCTTGTTGATGAAAGATCTCTGTCGATCTCGTTCTCGTCGATCGGAAAGTGCGCAATGGGAACAGAAGAAGGAGACGAGTTATTAGACGAGCAAAGGATAAACTCGTCCGCGTCCGTATCCGTGTCGTCAAGGAAACTTATGAGCTCATGCTGGTCCACGCTGGCAACGCTCCCCATGTCCTTATCCATCGTTGCCGCCGCCCAGGGACGAGGGCGGTGCTGGCATAACTTGTCCTCCTCCATCTCCCCTGGTCCAAACCTACCAGTCGATGGTGACAATCGTGATGGGTCCCACGGCAGCGCACCCATCACGCCAGGTACGCGCGCCGGGGCAGTGAGAGCAATGCCAGCAAAGGCCTTCATTCGTCCACTTGCCCGCTCTTCTTGCTCTGCCCAGGACCTGGACGAGGAGGTCGTCGATGACATCCACAAACTTTCCCCCAATCGCCTTGGATCCTGCTGGCTAATCCCCAGCAGCGCAGTCATGGTTGCTACACTTTGTACTCCGCTGTGAGGCACCAAGTCACCAAGGTCCAACGAGATACTGCCGGATCTGGTATTGAGCTGACCTCACAAAGTCCGGGAGTCCCTGCCAGCTGATGGGGGCCTTGTGCCTGTGCCTGGGATGCGTGAAGAGGGTCTTCCTCTTCCTGTTGGTTCCGGATCCACTGGGTGAAGAGGGAACCAGGGAGCAGGGGAACATGCAGCCGAACGGCGAATAGAGTGGTAGCGTAAAGGTAAGGTAAGAAAAAAGTATGGCTCAATCCACCAGCAGGGCTCCAGAGTCTGAGAGCTCAAGAGTCCAAAAAGAGGGTCGCTCTAAGGAACCGGGGTGAAACTCTCGAGAATGGTAGTGATAATGTTGATCACCAACACATTCGGGCATGACTTTGCAATAAAGGAAACATGAAGCATTGCCAACTCGGAGGGCCTAGGAAGGGTCATCCTGTATTTAGGTGTCAATAGCACACATCGAGGACTTCGGCCAGACAGACACAGAGAGATTTGAGGTGTGACCTACATCATATATCTCGTATCCCAATGGTTGCTGCTGACCCGGAACGCCCGTCTCTTGGTTGACGAGACAAGGCCAGCACAGCAAATGAGCTTACAAGAGCTGCATGTAGCGAATTTCACAAGCGCTTCGCGAAGCACACCAAACGCAATTTTAGCAGCAACCGGAAAATCTTCAGCGGTTCTGCAGCTTGTCGAGACGGCAGCCAGTCCAAGAAAGTAAAATGCCTCGAGAGGGAGGGCTGCGTCGGTTTGTCATACGTTCGGGCTGTAGCACAACATTTCCGCTCCTCTGCATGTCTCGCCGTCCCGTGTCCCGAAGCAGTCAAGACCGTCGGTTCGTCAAGCTTTCACAATCATACTATTGTACTGTGATAGACAGCGTGACGGCTTCATCTCCTTACCCCGAGACTTTTTTTTATGGTGTGGTTGCACATGGATGCGGCGCCCGCAGATTGCCAGCCCTCCATCTCACTCTTGCAGGAACACACTCTACTGTGGTAGTCTCGGTCTCTGTCGAGTAACGGAAGCAAAACCAAACCACACATCCATCTCGTGAGTCTGTGCTACCTCGTCACTCTGCCCCCCTGCTTGTGTGCCTGAACATCATCATCCACCCCCGAATTTCACATCGTCCCATGTTCAGCCCCAATGTCGTGTCGCGGAGTCCAGCCAAACCTTTTCCTATCTACCTCTTCCGCGACGTTAAGTTCAGACGGTCTTCTCTCGCATTCATCCTAGGAACTCTCTTTCTTTGATGGGGCAAATTGTAACCCTGTCAACACGGTACAGATAGACTCGCTGGAAAGTTACATTCACGAGAAATGTCGGGAGTCTCGAGAACGGGATTATGCCACCATCGGCGGCCCTGTTGTTTCCCTGCTGACGGGCGATCATTGGGCAAGGTCGTTTAGTCAGTCGACAGAGCCTTATCAGCATGAACACATAAAGGCAGAGCTCCACGGGACAGCAAAGAAATATGGAATGAGAGAAAAGCATTGTGTATTTTTGTTTCACGGTTTCACCGACGTCGCGGAGGGGACAACCTTGGTTTGCGTAGCGGGAGCACTGATCAGAACCTGAACCTCAGCCCCTTTACGACTAGCTCGAACTTCGGGAAGCACAGAAAGTTTTTGCTTTTTCCTTCTTCCACTCTCGCATCTCTTTCCCTGTCGTGAGATTACGAAACCGGAGAAAAAAACACACAGCAGAAAGCCTGTAATTTATTCGAGGCAAGCCTTGCGCGACGTTGGACGCTTGAGCTAGTAAAGATGAGGAGGACCTTAGGGGAAAAGCCAAGACCAGCCGCACTGCACACTACATGAGGCTACGGACGTATGAAGGCAAGCTCTCGAGTGTCCGAGATGAACCGTCAGCAGAGGGCATTCTCGTGGCTTTCCGTCCAACAAGGCTGCGTGGCTACTTGAATCTAGACTTCTAGCCTTCTGTCTCGATTATCGCGGCCCCCACACTACGAGCCGTTGAATGGCTGTGCCCCCTTGCCGTGTTTGGTCACAAATGTCGTAGTCAGCTTCCAGATGCTTGCCTTTTCATCAGCAACACCCGACGGGCCAACGGCCGCCGCTCAGGTAGGTATATTATGTCCTAAGGACATTAAGTGATTGTCAGCTATGAGCGCTTACGGAATTCATGCTCGACGCGAATGTGCCAGTAGGCATTGCGCGTTGCCGTTATAGAGCCCGCATGATATGGAGTGATGTGACGAGGTCCGTAAAGAAAAAGGGGAGCAACTAAGCAAGAAAGCAACCCTACTCCCTGGGGAGGGTTCCTCCGGGAAATACGGACGCAATGAAACCTTCCCTTTCTCTCCTGTGTACCGATCGGCACCTCATTTTGGGGCTCTGAGGTCACAGTCACACCGACACGCCGGGCACAACTCCACGAGGGGAGGAGCCATACGGGTACAGGGGAATAGAGAACTAGAGTCTGGAGGGATACAAAACTTGCAAGATGCAGTACGCGCCAAAAGGATGTGCGCCCCTCATTCCACCATCCGACGGAATTCGGCACTTCAGCAACGGTGGCAGAGACTCGAGAGAGGTCATGACGACGCCAGTCTTGCCCTTGAACAAGCAATTATACGGGGAGACCTTCGACAGGCTCTATCCGTACGATAGTTTGCATTGCCGGTGCAACCCCATCCGTGAGTCGCTTGGCTCTTCCGCCTGTGCGATCCCCCGATTCCACTTTTCCCGTCAACAGAACACCTCCATTCTGGCTCATGAATCGTCCCTTCTTTTTTTGCCTTTTCTGCCTTTCGTCCCGCCGTTGAGTATTGACTCAAGGGGCTTTTTGAGACGAAATAGGATAGCTATATCGCAGATCTTATGGCTCTGGCTCATCCCAAACAGGACATGGCCAGCAGGCTCAGCAGCAAACCGGATGAACCGTTGAAAAGCCCCACGCATAAGGTGAAAGTGGGAATATACCAAATGGGATAGCATAAAGTTGCTGGAGCCCACTGGTATGCAACTTTGAACCGCGAACCCTTCGCAATCAAGGAGACAAAGAAGAACTCCACGCCCATTACGACGCCGATCCCCGAAACAGTGGAGGCCCGTGATTCGCTTTTATGCAGCTACGAGCATCTCCTCGCGTTCCAGCAGTCTGGAAACAAGACTTATCTCGAGTATCGTCAATCTTTGCACATCACCGTCATCGGTGTAAAACCCTACTGTGCTTTCCACGATCCTAGCAGTTGAAGATGAACAGAGAAGGTTCAGGGTTGTCGAGAGCTAAATTTGGAGGATTTCTTACAGCAAATGTCGAGCAGGTTTTCTCTTCGTTGAAACACCAATTTACAACCCGGCCCCGGGGCTCACAAAGGCCACGCACGACTCGGATTGTGAAGATTGGCGGGGCCCCTCGGCCGAGAACGAGTCAACGTCACCCTGTGCATCATCAATTTGACTCCTTTTTCTTCCCGTTTTTGGAAGTCTTTTTCTTCCCTTGCCTGCAGCCATGGCCCCCGTACGAGTACGGAATCATATGCTTTCTCCGTATATCGTCTCTCGGGTCCATCCTTTGACAAACACGTTGTCGCTTCGTCCATGATCACGAAACACACACAAAAAAATCAAAACATCGCTTTATTCCTCGCCCATGTTTCCGCGCGCAAGAGGGAGCCGAAAGACCCGATGGGGCCCCGTTGCTATCCTCATCCTAGCTCTGTTCTTCCTCCCAGGCTCCTCCACAGCGCTAGACCCCCAGAGAATCGCGGGACCTATTCGCTTCCTGGGTTCTCCGTTTCAGCATCTAATTGTCGATAATTTGGGTTACTAGGTTGTTCGTAGGTCATCATCGAACGGAGCCTCATCTCTCCATGGCTGGCCTCCATCAGTCCCTGCAGAAATTCTTAGCGTGAAGGAGGAACGAGAGGCGAGTCTGGACCTTGGCGACGAAAGCAACGCTTGACCGCTTTCGTGATCGAAGCCTGTCTGTTCATCAACTGTTGATACAACGACAGAAGAACTGACAGAGATTCGCAATGTCCACACCGCAGGTTCGGCATCTTCCAGAATACCCACTGATGATCATGTCAACTCATCTGATCGATTGGCACTCGATTCGAAGAGAAACGATTCCCCTTCCCCCCTCGTTGCCCACCCGTTCCGCTATTTTCTCCAACTTCGGGTCTCCCGCACCGACGGTATGCCCGAGGGGAGGGCCTCACCGCATGCCTCGCTTGTCGACGAAGCCCGAAAAAACAAGCAAACATGCCCTCGCTGGCAAAGCAGGGTTCTTCAAGCAGGGTCTTCGGCACAAGTTGAATGATATCCTACTTTACTGGTCCCAGGGTGGTCGAGGGAAGGGGGGTTCCCTCGGTGTGTGCGCCTGTCTGACAGTCTGTACCGGCGGGCCTTTCGAAACCTGGCAAACTGCTTCTTTCTACGCGGCTTCTTCCCTGCCTATAAACGTGTGTTTCTTTGCTTCTTCGCACCTGCTACGCGCATGCGGCATGTTTCGCGACTCTGACGGAAAAGCAACTGCGCAACGGGTCTATTCTTCACCGCCTACTCTCATTTTCAACGTGAGCTGCTCCCTCGAAGTTTGTCCTGTGGGTTCGTCCGTACGAGTGAAAATCCGCGTGGTACGAGATTGTCGCCATTCCACACGAAGTTCTTTGCCATGCTGCCTCGACGCGGAATAAGACATGTACACGGAAGTAATTAGCGCTTGAGTCGCACATATCTCTATTCTCTTTACGAATATTGTACTCCGTACTCTCCCGTTCCTTTTGGGAAAGAAAGCAATCAATGGCGAGTCATTGTGATGTCTGGTCGTACGAGGGCTTGAGCGCAGCTTCAGCCTTTTTCTTCAAACTAAGCTTCTCTCCGTTCCTAAAAGGGGCATCGTTCGTTCGAAAAAGGCAATTGGTCCCCTTTCCTGTGGATTCGGAACATCGAAGTCAAAAAAAAGTGTCCGGTGGTCAGATGGATTGAAAATGTAGTAACCGAGGGGAGTCTGAGGAGGAGGTGAAGTTATCGACGAAACTGAGTCAAGTTTCTATGTGGCTTGTCGTCTTCCCCGTTGTCAAAGCCACTGCCACTCTCCAACGAAAACGTTCGGGATCTTTTCTGCTTCCCTCCTCTTTCTTAGCTCGCCGCCACGCGCCGATATTGCCTTCTTCGTCTTCCAAGATGCATGCGACTGGTCCATTTCGCTCAACGGCCGAGTTCCCGCCTAAAATATTGCAGCCAGAGAGAAGTCTAGAAACTAACAAAAGATCCAATGACCGTGGTTCTCGGCAGATCAGCAAGAAAATAAGATTCGCTGCGCTCGATTGTGCTCACAATGCTAAAGTCCCAGAACGGTGAGCGTGCATGTTCGTGCCAAACTCCATCCCACGAGCATAGTACTTTGTGCAATGGCCCTCTACCGTACCCATCGCCACTATGAACAGAGCTGGGGGCTTCCAGAACTATGCCAATGCAACGTCGCTAAAGGAAAAAAGAACACGATGAGTGAAGACGGAGAAAAGCCAATCTTAACCTCATCTCAGCTAACACCCCCGCCTTTTCTCATAGCCTCCGGGAATGTTACATCAGACATGGAACACAAATCTTTTGTTTGGGAGGGGGGGACCGTTGGCGAACCATGGAAACCAATCTTCTGGGAAACGAGAAGACGGAAATAAACGTCAGGTGAGTGGGAAAAGTCCCGAGAGAAACCTCATTTCGTATATCCCTCCTCCAGGCTCCTTCACTGTCCACGGGTGCGAGTCCAGGGGGGGGGGGGTGGCAATCCACGCGCCGCGACTAGACGTTACTATCCGTAGGACAACCCGGCCTACCAACAAAATTGCATTATTACTCCGTTCACTTTGAATCTGATTCTGCGCCCTTGTAGGATGGAAGAGGAGCTGCACGTCATTCGTTGACGTTGTCTTGGTATGTCTCTCAGTCTGTCACCGTGTGGGCTGTTCTTGCGTGTTTGGAATGCAGCAGGAGAGGGGGTGACATGCCAGGAGGCTGTTTCACGCAAGCAGCAAACAAATCGAAGGTGTCTACTAGAATATTGAGAGAAAACTTCATTCTGCGGGGGTGTAGTAGAAGGTCTCAAGACATGAGAAACTCGCGATACACTAAAGTAGTTACGTAGTACTACTCCTCGAACATGACTGTTATCTCTTCCGCTGCTCCCTTCCTTCCTTGAGAAATATCTCTGAATAAAAGAGAGATAGTTTCCAGGCTGCCGTACCCGTCTTTCCTGCTCTTCTACCCATCTGATATGAAGTCGCAACACTTTACCCCTCTTTCATCACACCGATTGCCCATCATGGCAATGAGGCTGCAGGACAAACCAACAGCATATGCTTGACGTCCTATTAGGAAATCTCACCTTGGCAGCCTTCAGCCGCCAAACAACAGCTTAGACTGAGAGGGTGTGAGGCCCCTGACAAGCAAACATCAATCTTGCCCTTCTCTCTCCAGACACTGTGTCCGGCTCAGTTCAGATCGTCCTTCAGGAGCGCATGATATGACTGTCATCGTACCGGGCCGTTCCTTTCTACACAATAGCAAAACTTCCGTATGGAACGATATCAAGGTTTCACAACATGAGACTATCAGATCAGCTCTGGGCACTCTGCTCTTTATATATATATAGACGTATGAGATGGTTGAAACCTCTCCCATCAGAAAACTTTTCACCTCTCCATGGTCATTATAGCACTGCCCAGCCATCAACATCCGTCTCTCGTCACACACGGTGATCACACTGGCCTTACATAAGCCTATACGCGGTCTGCAACCAATCGCCGGCTTCTTTGTAACCACAACCAACAGTGGCAGTCACCAGCCATGCAGTTGAAGACCAGAACGGCCATTGGGTCTGGTGCCGGGATTTGATACGTTGTATGAACAAGGAAAGGAACGCCTCAATCCCGCCAAGCTGTGGACAAGGGCCCTCATCCGTATCCCGCGTATGCCACCTCTTTCCCACTCATAAGATGTCGTAGCAGAGCTGATAGATACTCTAGATGACCGTCATGTCCATAGTTTCGGAAGTTATATTGAGCCGACTCGCAGAGTCTGGACCGGACTCAACCAATGTGTCGGGACGCCCCATCCAGAAAATCGGTTGGTTGGGTCTCGGGAAGAGAGTCGACAGGGTCGTAGTACTCGTACACCTTGTTTTCCTTGTCACGGCCCGTCACTGCAGGTGCCACATACGTTGATATACCCGTCTTGCGGTCGTATGATCTATGAGTGCTTGCCAAGCGCTTGCCACCGCCTCCAGGGAGATCCACTACAAACTGCGGCATCACGAAACCAGCAATCGAACCCCTGATCTTGGACTCCAAGTCGAGAATCGTTTGCAGAGGCGTTCGCAAGTGCTCCACCATCTTGACCATATCACACTGATAGACATAGTACTAGTCCCGTCAGTCCTGCACAACAGGCATCTCAGGGAGGGGGTTACCTTACCGGGAGTATGTTATTATTCGCCAACTTGCGGATGAGCATTGACATGGTGCCTGCATCATCGTTGACCCCGCGGAGTAGCACGGTCTGGTTTCGTACCACGACCCCGGCTTCGAAGAGCTTCTGGCTAGCTTCCTCACTGACCCAGGAAATCTCATTGGGGTGGTTGAAGTGGGTGTGCAGCGCCACCGCCTTGCCAGCCCTCCTTGCCTTGTTGGACACCGAGACAAGGGCATCTACCCAAGTATCGTTGGGATCAAGAATGCGAGTCGGGCAAACGGCAAGTCCCTTTGAGGCAAACCGGAAGCGACGTATGTTGGGCATCGAGATCAGTCTGTCACCAATCAGTTCGATTTGGTGAGGCGCCAAGTAATACGAGTCGCCTCCAGAGACTACAATGTCCTGTAGATCCGGTGTATTCTCGATGTACTGGAACACCTTCTCCCATCTGGCAAGGATGGGCTTGAACGAATGCTTGTCGACGGTTTCGGTGTTGGCTCCTACTGCGTAGGAGCGAGTGCAAAACATGCAGTATGTCGGACAGACGGACACGGCTTCGGAGAGATTGATGTTAGCCAATACATCAAGGAGGGTCGTGCTTGGCATATGTCTGTTGGTAGAGCTTACGGAGAAACAAAGCCTTATCTGGGTACCGATGGACCAGACCAGGGACTGGTGAATCGGCCTCTTCGTGCAGAGAATCAAGTGTCAGCCGCGGATGATCCGGTACCATCGATGACTGAGTCGGGATGAACTGGCGAAAGATGGGATCGTTGCGAGGGTCAGTCCAGTCGATACGACTGAGAACATACGGGCTGTGGCAACTCGAATTAGCACCTCCGCCTGATATCGACTAATATTCAACCCACGTAAGCCGAACAGACATGGTTGCCTTCTTGATTCCTGCGAGGACGTCGTTGACAAGCTCGTTCCGAGGCTCCATTTCACTGCTGGAACCACGGACAGGGATGTAATCGGGCAAGGTCGCATCAAGAAAGCCTCGCAGCTTCGGAAGTCTTTCGACCATGTTTCTACTCTGAACATGGGGGCGGTGTCAGAATGCAATAGGAAACTCAATTGAGGAGGGAGAGACCTGTCAACTTACGCTCCAACGATAACTCAGGAAGTCCTCTGTGGATATATCTTGCCACCATGGGATCCTGCGCCAGAACTCGTCTCGTCTGCCTCGGTCTGATGTTGATACGTCTTCAACATGATCGTGGTACATTGGTTCTTCGATAACCGTTTCAGAGGCCGCGGCTTGAGCTGCCTGCAAACGAGATGGAGTGGCAATCCAGCGAGCTCCTTGGCCACGCTGTGTTGCCTGGATAAAGCGAGCCGCTGCCCGAACCGGTATACACAACGACAACATTATTGTGTTAAAGTTTTCCTAGTCTTGGGGGCACGTTGGGCAGCCAAAGCCCCAGGGAACGGTCGCCGTTCCGTGGGCGTTGCGGAAATATTCGGCCGTGCCTAACAGCAAGCCGTAACGAGACGGTTGAAATGACCTAGGCTTGGCCAATATGCGGGTTATCACTGCCAGCGTCTTGTCGTATGACTACGGTCAGCACGAGAGGTTGTGGAATAGTGCGTTGGTGGAAGTTCGATGCAGCGAGTCGGAACTGACAGATGGAAAAAGGTGTTGTAATCATCAGATAAGAAATCTCTGAGAGATATCCCGATGCAGGACGGGACGAGGGAGGGGGAGGTAGTGGAGGTGTTGGCATATTTCACTCCTGCAAGAACTGTCTCGACATATGGCCAGATTGGAAAGAACAGAGGGCGTTTCGATCTACCGCCGTCCATAACCGTTGGTGAACAACCAACAGTGTGGCAGGGGGCGGAAGGCAAACACCAAGATCAGCCTTCAGCAAACAGGTTACACGGAGAATTTTCCTTCAACGGAATGGGTATCTACCAGCTCAACGGAAAGTCACGGCCAGGTCCTCCTTCTTTTGATGAACTTCCTGTTCAGCCAACTAAAGGCGACTCGGAAGGTAGGTACTGTACCCAGGAGTAAGCAGACTGTTTGCTATGACTTCTCGGAAAGCGCAACACAACCTCGTCTTGTGTAACCTTCCTCTACTTCGCCATAACTCGGGGTATCTTTTACTAACGGTTTTACTTCCGATGACTAGGAAGTTGCTACGCAGGGTGGCAGTCTAGCTGTGCGTTCAGTCACAGTAGCTCGAGGCATGATGGCGGCAACCCCTTACTACTCTTCCCCGCGGCGCTTGAGGCGAGAGGTACCACCACAACCTTGCATTATTGCCACGTCTCGCGCAAGTGATATGCCCATGAAATCACGCCTATACACGCATTCATCTGCGCAATATCCAAATCGAGCTGCATTTGCATATATCCTGGCTTGGTCCACTCTCCCTCATCGTCAAACGCTGACTTCCTATTAGCTACCGAGTGTCTGGTCACACATGCTAGTCCTTTGTCTAGCATCTCACCTCCGAGAAAAATCCCTCGAGAGCCAGCGGTTGGCGCCCTAGAAACTCTCCACAAACCCAAGACAATGCAGTGCCGGCTGAGCTGCTGTTGTTGCACACCGACTTCCGTATATCATGCACTCGAAACGAATGTCCTGGCCAAGTACACCATGCTATGATACTGGCCTTTGTCTAACAGCATGAGTCCAGTTACATTGTATGGGATATACCAACTACCTCTCTCAACGAGTCAAGGCTAGGTCTCCTGTGATACTTCTAAACTACAACAAACGTTCGGTTGGACCAGGTGTGGGCCCTTGCCTGGGCTTCCCGCTGATCTAACCTTGGAGTTGCCGGACTTACGCCAACAGCAAATTGCATTCCCAAGCTTGGTCTGAGTGAAATCAGGTGGAAAGTGTCCGGGGATTGCCCGTAGCTGTGTTGGTTTACAGCTTACAAAGAAAGAGATGGCACGGCTGAACATAGTGTTAAAGAAGCCCGTTACCCTTGATCCAACCCTCATGAAGCTTATGTGCCAGACTGGTGTATCTACTGTTGTCGTCTCTCTCTGAAGAACAGGAGGGGAAAAAAACAGAAAAGAACCATCAGATATTATCAAGTACCTACCACAGCCATGGCCGTGTCTAGACCAAGTCAGCTCGATCAGCGTACAGCATCAGTGTCTCAGGTAGCGGCCGGTCCAAACATGGATGTCGAGGAAACCACACGCTCCAGGGCGTGTGGCATGCCGTCACTCCGCCATAAAACAGGCATAGGGCATGTTCATGGTCCCCTCAGCTCTCCTCCTTGTTTCTTCTAGCGGACCTGACTGACCTGACTTACGTCCCTTTGAGCAGATTGCCGTCGCTGCGACCCGTTTCTCACTCCAGCCCCGTTGCCATAACCCGACGCCCGACGTTGCCCCAGACTCAGCAGCCTTCGACGGTACATCATGCCTCTAACGACCAGGTCAAGGTGCTATCAAGAGAGCCCGTAGACGGTGGATGGAGGGCTTGGTCCGTTCTTGTAGGATCAACGGCGTTTATGATCCCGACGTTCGGTCTAATGACGACCGTGGGCATCTTTCAGGTGTATTGGAAGGAAAACCAGCTTGCTCCGTGGTCTAACACGGACATATCCTGGATTATATCCATCTTTGGGTTTCTATCTGTTCTACTCTGCGGCCCCTTTGGCATACTGTTCGACACGTTCGGGCCCCGATGGCTCGTGACCCCCGCAACAATTGTGTACAGCGCGGCCTTCCTGGGCGTCGCCTTCAGCAGTCAATACTGGCAATTCATGGTCTGCTTCTGTGCTGCCGGTATAAGTGCAGGTAGGTTCTTTGTCCATCTCGGGCAAAGCGTAACTGTCAAGAATTATCCTAACGTTACGGACGTAGCGGCTTTGACCACCACTGCGCTAGCCGTTATTAATCATTGGTTCGACGACAAGAAGGGACTGGCCATGGGCATTTGCACCATGGGTGGAGGACTGGGTGGGGTGATCTTCTCCGTGGTGCTTCGGTTCACCACGAAGAACTTCGAGTGGACGACGGCAAGCCTCATCCACTTTGCCATAATTTGCGCCTTTTTATCCCTCGGGTGCGCCTTGACGAGGCCCAGAGTACTCAAGGCTCGCAAAGGAAAGATGTGGGACTTTGCCTGCTTCAGGCGTTGGAAGTTTGTCCTCTTCACCTTCAGCGTATGCGGTATGGCAGCTGTACCACACCAACTTTATCAAGTATCAGTAGCCCTAATGCAATGTGATGGCAGGCTTCGAGTTGGTGCTGTTCGTAGCGTGGGGTCTCCTGCCCACGTATGCCAGAATAGTCAAGCTCGGCGATGTATTCTACTTGATCCTTGTCTTCAGTGTGTAAGTTCACCACCCCCTTTAATCGCCGTGGAATCTCAGGGCCGGCGCTTGGTTCTTCAGCTTATGCTTTCTCAGGGGGTCTTCCTTCGGCAGGATTGTTCCTGGATATTTCACCGATAAAATAGGCCCCTTCAATGTGACTATACTCATGACAATATTCACAGAGGCGGTCATGCTTGTGTTGTGGCTAGCGTTCGGAGACACATCCGCGCCTACGCTCTATGCCGTGGCCTTTTGTCTTGGATTCGGTACCGGTAGCTTTGTGTCGACGGCTGCTACATGTCTCGGACGACTCTGCGACCCGCAAGACAGTGGCACATACATCGGCTGCTGCTATGCTGTTGTGAGTCTGGCAACCTTGGTCGGCAACCCAGCCAGTCAGGCTGTCCTAGGAGACGGTGAGGGCAGCCGCCCTCGCTTGATGATTGTCTTTCTTGCGATAGTCCTCGCAATGGCGCTTGCGAGTTGCTGCTTTGTCCGGTGGTTGTGTACGAAACGCAGCTGGAAATGGTTGGCAAAGGTGTGATTCGAAAAAAAATTGTTGACACCAAACAACCGACCACGAGCACGAGGGCCGAAAATTCCTTTCTTATTTATAACTGGGGTCGGCAAGGATCTCCTCAGACTGACGATGGAGGATGACTGGGTAGACCGGCAGTCTTGGCTATCCCGGTGAGGCACTGTTCCAACGTGGTTGGCTGACGACAGCGTTGACTATCTGGCTCAAGGAGCGCCTCATGCAGCCCTCGTCGAAAATGACTTGCAGGATCGGACCAAAGGTTGCAGGACGATGACCGCCCAACGCAAAGCGGTTACGAGATCGTATGATAACAGAAGAGTGAAGCTGGTCAGAGCCAACGGAATGACATACACCGCAACTTGAACTGTTTTGGGACGCTTTCATGTTTTACTCCCTTAGTAACCTTGATTTCATATACTTACTTACCTTATTTGACCCAAGGGGTTTAGCCAAACTTTCACACCATAGGAATGTGTCCTCGAATCATGTTCGCGCAATGGCTTGATAGTACATTAGGCCCAAGCATGGCGGCCTCCCCTGCTTGTCATCGACTTACCCGGCTGGCAACGGCACAGTGCCTTTCTTGACATACTTACCGTGATGACCAGTTCGCCTACATGGGTCGAAGATCTGAATATGCAAGTTATCAGACGTGCGTATCTACAATCCCACGGGGAAAGTGTCCGGAATATCCGCCACGCCTTCCAAGGCCAAGGAGACATTGTACAACCAACGGGGCTCGACGGGCCAAGACCGGGTATAAGCCAGCTTACCCCGTTTTTTCACAGTTTGACAACTTGAAAACTATCATTAGGGACTTTGTGAGCGTCGTGGATGAGTGCGGCGAGGAGTCGAATTGGCTGTAGGTGGTTGAGGCTGCTGGTCGATACAAAGGGTAAGATTTCCAGTGGAACGGGTGGATTCCATTACAGTATAGAACGTCCTACTGCGCAAATCACTTGTGAGTCCAACTAAAACCGAAACTGTAGCTCGAGGTCCAACTAGGAGCCGTTGGGGAGTCCCGTCGCCATGGCTCTTGGAACGAGCCTTGACCAGTCGTGGTCTGCCATGGAGACCGCGAGACGAGGTCCGCATCAAGAAATCCGGTAAAATCAGACTCACAACCACTGAAAGTTATCCAAAGGGAAGTTAACGCGACTACAGATTTAGACTAAAGTAAGACTAAGGTACGCTTCACCAACAACCGGGGTTTGAGTAAGACTATCGAAAAGATTCGGCCAGTCGCGGAAAATGTGTCCCGCCTTTGAGGTGAATAGGGTGGGAAAGAAGGATTTTGTGAGGGCATGGGAAGACCCAGGGGTGGCAGACTAGTGAGTGAACCCAGTCGCGGACACGGGGTTTTCCGTTGTTGACTTGAGGAGTCCATGCCGGAGTCGGCAGCCTTGGACAATGAAAGTACAGATAGGTTTCGAAGACGTCAACGCCGACTCCTATCTGCCGTTGCCATTCCTGGGCATTTTTCCCAAAAAGAAAGCAGATCGTCACTGCTACGTTCCCGTTCGGGCGCTTATTCCCATGCCCGCTGCGCCGCGAGCTTGCGAGGTGGGACATACGACCCATCCGTTCTCCGGACGCTGTGTGACATTGTACGACGTGGCAACTTGTGGGGGATCAATGGGCGAGACAAAGGTCATATATTCGTACCGTCGATAGGCCCCCGTATGAAGGCAGAATTTGCACTTCGTCGCTTACATCACAACGAAGTGGACCGCCGAGAAGGCTACTGGCCGTCAGTTGATGCTCCATTGAGATAACACTGGGCCGGCTTGGAATAGGAAGTTCGGTGAGCGGTCCGAGTCATTGTTGTAGGTATGTCTTGCACCAAAAAAGAGCCCTCGGTGGGATGATACATAGGGGGGGCCTGGCTCGAGATTGGGATTGACGAAAGGAACACAGGGGCGCGAGGCGTTCGGACGAGACCAGATCCGCGAGACGCGGTTCCTCTGCAAACGGCCAAGCCACACCCGTTGGGATGGAAAGAAAAGCAATCCCAGGGCTTTGCACCGGCTCGATTTCTTGATCCTGCCAGGGCGGTGGTTTCGGCGCGGCCCGTTAGTCCAAGTTTTTGGGGAGGGGGAAACGACGTGATCGACTGTCTTTGTTATTCTGGATCAGAAATGTCACGATCGAGAAACTAGTCAAAACCTTAAACAGCGGTCGACGTTTTTGACTCTGACGCTCCGTCATGACATTTCTGATTCTATTTGGGATAATTGTGTAAGGGAGAGCGCCACTTTGCTATACCGAATCCGCTTCGATATGGAGACCGGGTGTCCAAGCTCGAAGACATGCGGCATTCCGCCCTCTGGGCCCCCCCTTGGAAAGTGGACAAATACCTGTTGCTTATCTCGCGTGCCAAGGCGAGATGAATGTCTGATTTGAAGTGTAAACTTACAAGGGGGGCAGAAGAGCCGAGACGGTGACGCAGAGGTTAACGGATCGGGAAGACCTGGTCGAAGCCCCTATTGTGAATATTGAGATGTGAGCACCACAAAGGCCCGGGGAAGATCTCGGAGGGTCCTCGGTGTGCTCTCCCGTCCACGAAGATGGGACACGTTTTCTTGGTCTCACTACGTGCTCACCGTCAGACTGCGTCCTGCAGGCCAGAGACATCAGATCAGGTCGGCGGGCGGGCGCCGACGTGACATCTCGAGCATCGTAGCGCGACTTCTGTAGTCTAGCCCCGGAGATCATAGTCATTGTTTCGGCCGTAAGGGCCCTGGAGAAGTTCGAGAGTGTTGTAATAGCGTTCAAGGGTGGTCGACAGCTAGACCAAAACCATCTTGACCGAGGGAGGAGACAAACAAGGCCCGAGAAAGCCCTGTGGGGGTCGCTCAGCTGCCACGTTCAGGTCGCTACGAACCGCGGCATTTATACACGGATGTTTCACTGGGTAGCTGTTTATGGACACATTCGCGTGTGAGGATAGCTACATATAGTATGCCTCCTCCGTCACCAATCGCGGCTAGAGGCTCTGCAACAATGTGTAGGAAGGGCCATTGCCATGCTCGAGTGCCTTTGCCGAAACATGTTTCTCCGCCTTGTTGGACTGTTTCCTTCCGTTTACTTGTCTCTGTCAGAAAAGATCTTTTATGAGTCGCCGGGATGTATGTGGAGGATGCTACTGGCACAAAGGAACGCAGCTATATTGGTCTGCATTCCCCGAGATGGATGCCAATTACGTCCTAAGTTCAAACCAACCTATCCGGCAGGCGACAATGCTAGCGCAATACGACCGAAATCCTGTTCCTCTCCTCGGGGTACATGAAAGAAAGTAATCACGATGCTCGTCACTTATGGTATCTTAGCACACGCGTTGGAGGCATGCCCCCTGAAGTGCTCTCTGTTGTGTGCCTGGGTTCCGCCACCACCCAAGGCGGCCAAAATGAGGGGTTCGAACTCAACCATCCAATACACATGAGGAGCACCAGCTGGATCTTCTGCAAAGTCATCATTAGAATCTGGAGGTGTGCGTTACCACCCCTGTCATGCCGCCTATCACATTCATGGCACTTGTCGGCTCGGCGAGCCTTGTCACGGCGCCCTCCTCATCGCTGGCCGTACCCCCGATTCTCTCGACAGGATAGGAGAAGAGCTAGAAATGCCATAATTGAACTGTCCCGTCCTCAGCACCCTTATGTCCCTTGGACACGACTCTTATCAGTGAAGCTGAATGAAAAGGAAACAGTGAAGGATCTTCTTCAGAGGGGTCACTTCTCCGCTAAACCGGTCTGCTGGGCGACAGCAAGGATCACGTTCCCTCCCGAAGCTCTTTCCCTTTCGCAAAAATTCCGAGACTCTGTCTCTCGAATATGTTCTGGGTGTGTTACACATGGTCCCGAGTCCCTGGGTAAGGCCCGTGGGAGGTTTGGCTTCGTTTGTGAACCTTCAACCTCAGGAGGTAAGAAGCCTCCGAGTTAAATAAACAGGGCTTTCGGACCACGACCTATCTGAAGTTGACTTCTTGTGCATCGTAGCCTCCAGTCGTTTCTCGTCGTTATAGAAGTTGGCCAACGCTGCATTTACACTACCACGTAGCACCTGGGAACTACGTAGAACGCCTCCTTCTATCCGCATAGCCCGGGCTTTCACAATACCGGTACTCCTTTGGCATTATATCCGCTGCATATAGTCGCTAGGTAGTCTCGGGTGTAAGCAGTGCCGTATGTACCTTTCGTGATACTGGACATTTGTGTACTTTATGGCAATGCTTTGATGACCGCTCACCCAACCGCCTGAAAGGCAGTTGCTTCTCTGACTCTTAGCATTCTGCCCTGATTCAAACACACTAGAGCCATGCTTCGGCCTTGTTTAGCTACTTCTTTAACATATTTCACATGTTTCGTCAGCAGCCAGAGGAGGTATCTCATATAATATACGAATACGGAGCTTTCACTAGGTCATACATGGGTTCCTGCTCGAGTAAGGCCTGCCCGACTCTCCGCTAGCCCCCTTCAAAGACCTCCTCAGGCTGAGAATGACACTTGCCAAACGAGTATCCAGGCACCTCTTTAGCTTTCCCATACCCTGAAACGGCTCCCCTACAACTAAACTACTTGCTTCTTTCGCGCCCCGAAATTGCGCTTCCACATTCCCTTTATATTCCTCAACCCAGATTCTCAGGATGCTAAATCGGATTCTTCGGGTTCCAAAAGAGTTCCTCTACTGTAATCATCAAACCAGAACCTCGGATCGTTGGGGTAGATTCTCAAACTCTTATACCAGAGTACTGTCAGTCAAACCTTCACTATAACCGAATGCTACTCCTTAAACTCGCCAACAGTGTCCTCAAGCGCAGTCATGACCTATGATACGGTGATTCAGCAGTAGGTAGAGCGCTACCTTCGACGTGGTAATTGGAGACACTGACACTCTGACGGGGCAATTGCAAAGGATTTAGGCTGCGCCAGTCGGACTGCCACTTTCAGATGTACGTAGGTGACGGATCTCAGAGTAAGCATCGGCTTCCAATCCCTATACACACCTGTGAGATGCATCACAGTACTGCTACAACGACTAGCTGCCCGTCGACCGTCTGCGAATGTCGATCTTCCTTGAGTTCACAGGCTCCAAGTACCAAGAGAACCGGGCTGACGGTCACGCAAAGCCTGTATTGGGCACATTATCAACTCAGTAGTCAATGCAGGTGGATGATGAGCTATGGAAGTTTATTTCCAGGCTATGGAACTCAACTTCGCCACGAAGTCACCATGAAGAAAGATACTATCAATCTACTGGAGATGCTCGTGGGTTGTCTACGCTTAGGACTCAGTCGAACCCTACGACAAGCTGCATCGTGGCACTATAAGCGGCACTGTAGAGGACATTAAGATTTGAGACAACTGAATATAGTTCAGTGAGCGTCTACTTGACGTTGTCAGAGTTCAAAGATCCCCTTCTTCCCCTGAAACGTACTCTGGCCCGGGATATTAACCACCTAGCCTCGGCCCGGGGGGAAGCCTTACGAGCCCCCCACAAACGACCACCAGTACTATGCAAACAACCCCCGATTGTATTGCATGGTCCCTGATGGCGACTGGCTTTTGTGAACTATCCCTGGTTCTCATAGCGAATGCAAGGCAGACAATGCCTCTTCCGGCTTTGGAATACAAATTTCCTCAAATGCAGTACAAACCCCAAACTCTCCCCCCTGCGATATCCTCAGAGAAACCATCACCACCCCTAATCGACGGCAACAAACAGACACCACATGTTCGACGATATAACATCATCAAAAAGACCGTTGTGAAACCAAACGGCCCAAAAAAACGGCGCCACACCGTTGGCGCTTACGGCCGTAGACTCCTGTCCGTGTGGGCGCGCAAAGCTTAAAAGTCGCAAGTGCGACGACGCCGTCCAAGTCTCGAGACGACGCTAGACTGCCGGCCTAATGGCAGCATATTGGTCAGTGAACGAACAGGAAGATTTTTTTTTTTTTTCCTTTTAAAAAAAAAGCACCTGCCTAAATCCAAACTTGTGAGCACTTAGCTCGACTAAAGGTGCTCTTAGACTCTTCCTGGCCCCAAGCTAACAACGGAGAATTATTTGTCAATTCCTTAGCTTGACTAACGGGTATCTCCGTAAGATCGGGCAGGTTGTCATGGCGCGCGCGCTTGCGAGATCTCGCTGCCTTTTCCATAGTCGGCGATTCTTGCGCTCGCGTTCCCGAGTCTGTAGGTACGTGACCTCGGACCGGCGGTCGGTGACAACAAGTCAAGATCGTTCAGCAGGGCTTGTGCACATTGAAACCTGGTATCATATTCGATCATTAATAAGACAGCACATGCGTCAATCTCCCCAACTACCCCGGCAATGCCCCTTTTCCCAAACCTTGACCACTAAACCCCCTATTTCTCAAAGCCCAGCCAATACACTTTGGATGCCAACGCTACTAGCATCGTCGCGACGTTGCACAAATGCCTTGAAGTCGGCCTTGGTAAGCTTCTTGCCCTGGCCAGAGGGGCCCGCCGCGAGCGTGCGAGACTTCTCCCTTAGCGCCTCGGGTCCGACAATGAAGAGGGAGCCAATATCAGTGAGAAGCTCGGCCGAGGTTTCTACGTCCGGTGCGAGCGACCACTCCTTGAGAGTGGAAGAGTACTTGGACAGATCCTGCGCGACCATGAGTCCACCCGTAGCATTGACCTGGAACTTTTTGAAGTGGTCAAAGAGCAGAGCCAGGACGGCGAGTGCGACCTCGGAGCTCCAGACCTCCAAGTTCTGGCCGTCCACAGCCTGGGCGGCGTGCTTGGAGACGCGGGAGAGAAACTGGCTCATTTGTAAACAGGTGGGCGTCTGAAGTGAATCCAGATCTGCGTCGCGAGGACGGAAGTCAAACTTCTTCTGACTGGAAAGAGAGCGCGTGACCCAGTTGGTAACGACATCGATGGAGCTGCGCATCACGGCGTTCGTCTTGCGCTCAATGCCGTCAATGGCGGATTTTGTCTGCGTGGACATGCTGCGGCGGACTGTCGTGTTGGATTCGGCCAGCTTGATCAGCACAGTAGTAATGAAGCGTTCCATGATACTAGTGATGGTCACCGCGGGACGGATTGAAGGGAGGTAGCTCAAGTCTGGTTCCGACTTGATATTTTCCTGAGAAGTCGCCTGGTCGAGCGCGGCGTCCAAAGCCGTCTCCACATAGACGCGACCCATTGTTGTGAGCAAAAGGTTTAGGAGAACGTTGACGTCCTTTGGTGTATCGGCGGGAGAGCCAAGTTCTAGGGTTCTTCGGACGGATTCCGCGAGCCACTTCATCATTCTCTTGGCATTCGCTATGCTCAGAATGCCGTCTTCTTCTGACACCTCAACGTCGTTTTTGTTGTCATTGTTGTCTTGTATTCCTGCAACACGAAGCATCATAGCCTTCTGAGTGGCTGTTAACTCAGAGGAGTCGAGGCGCTCGAGATATGCATCCTTGGCCGACGATAGCATTTGTGAACTCTGTTGTGCAAGTGAGGCCATGAAGCCAGTCGGTGCCTTCTTTCTCTTGGAGTGGTATGTTGTGAATTTGAAGAGCAACGAGTTGTACGTTTCCTCGAGACTCTTCCTCTCTCGGTCAATGTATGAATTACCAACAAGGTAGGGAACGAAAAGTTCCTCCATCTGCTGGTCCAGTGTCTGGGAGATTTGGGGGGAAGCCGGTTCCGGATGTTCGGTAAGGCCGTGTGATTTGAGGTCTTCGATCAAAGAACTGATGTATGTCCTCGATGAGTGCAGTGATCTGAGGAACGCCAAGGAAGAGATTTCGTTGGCCTTGTCCAGCACCATCTCGAGCCTTTGTTGAACAGACTGCTGGAACACTCGCTGAATGAATTTGATCAAAACAGTCTCGTAAAAAGGGAAGGCGCGCTTGATGATGAAGGATTCCTCCTGCATGACGAGTTTGACCTCGTCAACGAGAGATTGTAGGCTGGCTTCGACGCCAGGTGGTTCAGAATCGGGATCTGCAATCTGTTCCCATGTGTCGCCGTCCAACATAACTTCATCCGAAATCAATTGGTCTCTGTCGATGAAGAACTGGTGCTGATTTACAAAGGTCGCAATGACGCTGGAGCCACCGTTGAAGTCGTACAGGACCTTGGAGCACTCCATCATGTCGTCGAAGTTTTGGCGTCGGTAACTGCTGTTGAACTGCTTGAGAAGCTCCTGCTCCAAAGACTCGGAGAACTTCTCGAGTAGTTCTCTCGTGTTGTGCACGCGATTTGTTCCCGTGACGCCGTTCGTAACGCCGTTTCCTCGGAACCCGTTTGTACCATTCGTCTGACCCCAAGAGGTCGGGTCTAGCCGCTGACTGATTCGCATGAGCTGTCGGGAGATTACTGCGCATCGGACCTTGTTCTCGGCTCCTCCCTGTCTCTGGATCTCCTCTAATGACGTGAGCTGGCCCGTCTCGCTAACCTCAATCCAGCATTGGATGAGGAAGTTGGCATCCTGGGCTCGCCTCCGTTTTCTGTCCAGCTCTTCAAGCTTCTCTCCAATCTGCACAGCAATATTACCGCCTGCTTCTTGTCTCGCACTTCTGTCGCCGTTTGTCGCGGATTGGTTTAATGATAGATCGAGTGCTTCGAAGGAGGCCATGGACTGGTCGAGCTTTCGACCGAGGGTATCGAGTGTTTGATCATGCTGGGCTTCGGCCCTTCGTACATTGGACTGGAGTTCCGATTCCTTCTCCTGGAGTTCTTCGGACAACGATCCAAGCTGCGACAGCGCATCTGCAGAGAGGGGTTAGTGAGGAAGGCACGAGACGAAGGGAACGAAGCTGCCATACTCTCAAAGGTGCGAATGAGTGGCTTGGGATCAAAGGCGGGTTGCGATGGACCTGATCGGCGGTTCGCAGGCACGGCATTCTCGGCAAGAGTGTCGACGAATTCGCGGACCACGAAGTCCTGGTTCGAGAAGTCCTCGAGGGTGAAGCTGGGCCCTTGAGGGAAGAGGGACTTGGCCCCAGAAGGGGCCCGTTCCATGTTGGCGGTCGGGCAGAAAGCGAATTTACTTGTGCAGGTTCAATCGAATGGCAATTTGCTACATGGCTCTTGAGTCTTGGTATTGTGTAATCGTATTGTCGTCGGCAGCTTGTCGCTCAATGTGTGGTATCGCGGTCGAGGTTGTGTGTTTCGGGAGCACGGGTATCCGCGTTGCTGCTCCCAGCGAGTGACGAACTGTCTGTCCCTTGCTTGAGCTTGGACCACTGCAAGTCACTGCCCCGCCTTTGTTGGTCTGTGTGTACTTGAACTCGACGGTATCACGTGATGGAAGTCACCACCAAAAATGGTGATTATCAAGGGTCCTTTCTTTACTACGTAGATATTCAAACGAGCAATTCAACGAGACTGCCCAGGCTAGTTGCTCCCACCGGCTGATTAGGCACATCTGCGGATGTATCCCGAGGCAGAGAAAACATACCTAGTATGAACATCAACTCTCGATATCCTGGGGAGCTGATGCCCTCTTTAACGCAGGACCTCAATCAGTGGCAAGCTGGTAAACCTCTGATTTGATTGCTCCGGCCCTCACGACTCTGTTGGAGGCTTCTATATACTCAATTGGGGCCTTGAAGTGCCTTTTGATACTCCAAAAACTCACTGCCGACTAGGTGTTGTCTAACAATCGCCGTCTCAAGATGACTTGACACAAGACCCTTTGCTAGATTGAAATGCCCATCATCCCTGTACACCTCACTCCCGTCTTCGGGAGGCTCAGAGGCATTTACCAAGATACAGATGGGCTCTACCTCCGCGCAACGTTGCTCTCTACCTGCCTGCCAAGCAAGCAACGGGCAGACATAGGCAGCAGGTGGGGCCCTGTCTAATAGTTCGCCCTTAGTCTCATCGCATAGACATATAAGTCTCCCACGACATCTTCACATCCTTAACTTCGACAGCATCATCTTTTATCTTCCTTATTTCACATATGTAATTTGCCTTCACTCTCTAGTCGCCATGGCCGTGGAACACAAGCCAGTCGAGGAGACAGACCGCCTTAGTCTCCTGCCAACAGAGCTCCTCATAGACATCATCGACCATGTAGACGTCGCTTCTCACCTGAACTTTGCCTGTACCTGAAAGAAGATCGCCAAGTGTTCAGCCGGAGTTCTTCGCCGTCACAGAGAAACCCATGATAAGTACGGCGTCATCTCAGACCTCCAGCCGGCGACTATACCCACATTGTTGCGAAATGTTGTCATGCACAAGGACCCTTGGATCACATGACACATACGCTCACTCGAGATATGGGGTAGCCGAAGGTTTTGGGAAGACTGGCTTTGGCCGCGAGAACGTTTTGACGAAGATGCGCAGCCGTTGGAGTGGACGCTGGAAGATAAGGAGCGGGCGGAGTACATGCGGCTTTTCAAAGATATATTTCATCCGGGTTTCGACGATACGTGTGTGGCCGACCAACAACTCGGCGAGGGTTACGATGGCATCCTCAAGATCTTACTTATGGCTATATGCCCTCACCTGAGTAGTGTGAAATACATTCTGCGCGACGAGGGCACCAGGTGAGCCTGAACCGAGGATCTGCACAAAGCTACGTTCTAACGCATCTGATTTAGAGATGACAGCCTCAAATGGCTCACTTCGCTCATCGAAATGAGTCACCTTGCCGGATCCTGGGCACCAGGGCTACGCGCTCTTCGTGAGGTCTCCATCGGAGTGCGCTCCGGAACTTGGCTAGACTACGACCGTAAGGTCAATCATCGCCCCGATCTCCTAGCAAGTGTACTTAGGCTCCCCAGCATCGATACCGTCTACTTCCTCGGCGTCTACGATCGGGATGGCGATCGTATCAATGATTTAGCCCGCGGCCTGACACGCGGCTGCTGAAGCGTACAGCACCTGTTCATCGACAGCGGAGAGTTTTTGAGTCCAGGGTTCTGCTCAGCCCTCCTCAACGCCCCTCGCTCCCTCAAAACCCTCCGCCTCTGCGGCAACGTCAGAGGTGATCAGGACTGCTGGCACGAAATCGACAGATTCCTGCTCAAAGCACGCAACGCCCAGGCTGAATCTCTTGAGAGTATCATGCTCTACGGAGCGTGGGGGATGGAAACTGCTCGCAAATCCGGCTGTGACCTGTATCACCTCCATTTGCTCGAGCTCAACACATTTCCACACCTCCGGCATGTCTGACTCGACAACGCCGACCTTCTCAAGCAGGCGGACAGCTACGACATGTACACGATACCAGACTTATGGCATACACCCGCCGAAGCAGCGCTAGAGTGGATTATCTCCCGCCTCCCCGCGTCGATGGAGGTTCTCTTCTTAGGTAAATCGGCGGAGCAAAGTGACCCAGAAAAGACAGAGGATCTCCTCATCGGCCTTCTCAACTCGGACAGATTCCCAAAATTGAAGGCACTTTTCATCGAGGATGACGTGGTCCGACGAGATCGGTGCGGCCGGGCGCGTTGCTCCAACCACGAGCCGCCCAACAATCTTTACTTCCAGCGCCTCATAGCCGTCGGCGAGAAGCGCGGGGTCGACGTGGATTGTACGGCTAGCAGGCCCAGGAAGAGGATTCACAGCGAAGAGGATATCGGGCTCCCTGCTGCCCCGGATTACACGCCCGCGCTGAAGTCTTTGCCCTTGGACTCCCCGATCCATGGTTCCGGCGCGCGAGAGTTCAATGTGTTTGCGGGCGAGTGGCAGCTCAAGGGGTGCGGTAACTGTGGCGAGTGCGAGAAGTGTTTCCAGGCGTACTCTGAGGAGAGTTGGAAGGCGAGAGGGAAAGGAATCGAGACATGAATTGAAGATTGAGCTGCATGCTCAAATATGTTGTCTCTCAATTATCCTTCCTTGGGTGTGTAATCATAGTCCTCGTTCTGTCACTTGATCAGCTCTAAAATTCGTCATCTGGCGACTTTGGAGGAATATAAAACCGCCCATCCATCACTGAGTCGAGTTTGGTTCACTCTAATCGTGCCGTCCATGAGTTGTTCGATGATCTTTTGCAGAGATAGGGAGTTCTCATCGTGGCTTAACATAGCCCTCACAAACGAGCGTCAATACAACCTACACTTTGCCCCTAGCCACTTAGCTTCGCTTTCCTCTGTATATTATGTTCAGAATAAGCGCTCTAGCGCGTTCAGAGAGTGTGTTTGACTGAGTTTGGTTGAATATGGCTTCTTCCCTCGGATCAAAACGACCTGGTGGTTTCAGGGTACTTTGCTGCTTTCTCGCGGGACTCCTGATCTATTTGGCCTCGGATGACAGCCGAAGACATTATTGCCTGCTCAATCAACTTTTTTCACACAATCATACCATATTTATATCCCTTCGTATGATGACGGAAGCTTAGTTCTCTCGTGGCGGTGTTCCTTAAGCTCTAGTGCGTGTTTGACATCGAGCCATCTAATTGCTCTACCTACTTCGGGTTCTTTCCTATAAACTTAGACTTCCTCAAATAAAAAGACGTCACACTACAAGAACTCGTAGGAGACTTGTCAAGACCACAATTACAGTATACGTAGCTTCCATTGCGCGGACTGGAGTACGACGTCTGTGCTAGACCGGACAGTAACATCAACTCGTTCAAAGCTCCCTGAAGGTGACATACAATGTACGCTTCCTAGGTAACACATGTGAATGTATATATGGCTAACATCCAGTACCTGTCCCTGATAATCCGCTCTTACTACTTCTGCCGTACGCATCGCCACGTCAGCATCACCCCCTGGCCAAGGCGATGACAAACTCATTGTAATGTTATTAAGATGCATCTTGAAAACCCAGAGGCATCGTCTTACCCCAGACATACTTCATCTCATTAAAAGGACACTCTTGGCTTGTCGACATCCTACAGAGAGACAGCAGCTGTTGTTGCAATTCGTGTTTATTGACGTGTACTGAATTTTGAGGACAATAACTCACTCATGCCTCCATGACTGAAGGCAAGGATCCTCTCCCATCCATATCCCCTCGCAAACAGAGACCAACAGACTACTTCTGGACTGTGTTATAGAAAGACCGTGTACATCATGCTCCTGAATTCAAAACCGACCCCACTATATAGTCATTAGCTGGGTACTCACGGACTGTCTGTAGAGAGAGACGCGTTTCAAGGAAGCCTTGGTTGAGCTTCAGGGTAACATCGGTATAAGTCAGATTGCAAAAGAGGAAAGCATGTGCCTTATACGCTGGGTATGGCCATTCAGTCTCGCAACCATGGAATTGGCAGAGGGTACCTCGCCCACCCTGAGAGGTGAACCTATGACACTTTGGCAGCACTTCAATAAATCATCCACGGATAGTCGTGACAGTCATGAAGCGGACTTCGCTGGGGTCAAGGCTTGTCACGTCATGCTTAAGCCTCTCTAGGTTTCGCAACCCCGTAGGCCGTTTATAGTGCTAAGCCGCGGAATGTAAACATGGTCAACCTCGCCAAGCTCGATATCCACCTGGATAGGAACTCTAACGATGGCTTCTCGTGTGGCCTGAGCTGCAAGCAGACTGCAGTCTACTATGTACGGGGGTTGACTGACGCGGCTAGCTATCAATCGCCATCAGCCGAGTCGGGTATGTCTCCAGACTGTATGAGACAAGTCTCGGTGCCGAAAAGCTTCAACGGAGGGGTAGCATCCCCACCGGAGAAGGCACGGTCTCGACTGGACGGACCCTTGACCGCAGTAGACGATTGCGCAAGTTTCCCTTAACGACATGCCAATGCAACGTACTTGGGCCACTCCCCAAGGGTGACTTAGCGAGACGACAGGAAGAAAAATCTGTCGAGGTCCATTGTAAACATGGCGAAAGCCAGACCGTGCGGATCGGCTCAGCCCTGCGAAGACGACGCAACCGGAGTCGTCAGCGCGGCCGGTGACTAGAGTAGCATTCTGCCTCTCTCTCGCAGGACCCGAGCTCCGACGGCGGGGACGACGTTGGCCGAGTCGCGCCGGAGTGTGGGGATGGCACTGCAATGTTGATCCAAGATTGGAATGGTTCCGGGTTCCACGGCCAGCACCACAACGCGGTCCCTGAAAAAACAGGAGCCACCCCTTTTGAGTGCGAAAAATGAAAAGGGTCACCCCTTGTTCCCATCCACTTTTGCAGAGTGAGGTGAGGATCCAGAAATGCGGCGCCGCATTGAAAGATTTGGAGATGAAGTGATCGGATGTCAAGTCGGATTTGGGGGCTCATGCCCGGAGCCTCATCAAATGCGGCCAACACGCCTCACCGTGTTGTGGTACTTTTTTGAGGCACGACTCGTTGACTTGCCTAGTATGAGCACCAGACGTCAGCTGCCTGCAAGATTCGTTCTAAAAACGTAGGTAGGACGCGATGACGGGCAGCAGAGGAGTTGACCGCCGTCGCGGGGAGCATTAGGGAGCGAAAATGGACCCAAAATATCCGAACTGTAGGATGAAAGGGGTGGCTCGGAATCCCAAGAATGCCGGGATCGGCGCTAGAACAAGTCGCAAAGACGTATTTCTAGATCGACATTGAAAAAAAAAAAAGGCGTGGACTGGCAGACTAGGCTCGTAGACGGTGAGGTGTGCGTTGTTCTGTCTCGGCCTCTCGGAACGGCCTAGCTAGCCGTCAGCTGGTGAGAGCACGTTGCCAAATGGCGAGATCTGAACGGGCCGGTCGTCCTCTTCGCTTTGCTTCTCTTTGTGCCTTTCTCGAATCCCAAGAAGTGTGCAAAGGTGGCTGTGCTAGGTCCGGCTATGAGGGACGAGGCGGGCAAGCGCGGCGGGCAGGTGGGAGGATGAACCGAAAGCGGGTTGATGTGCCGCGGCCTCGGGCTGGAGTGGACCACTGGAATGGAATGGGTGTGGACTGTGGATGAGATGATGCGTGGGACGGGGCGCAACTGGGGAAGGGAGGCGCCGCGAAGCTATTTTTACCCAAAGCTTCTTGTGATTGTTTCTCAGGGTGGTTGTTGGTTGTTGGGTTTTGTTTTGTGGGTAGGACGAAGCCTTCTTTGTGCACTTTGTACGTATGTCCGTAGAGTGCTACAGTTCGGTTTCCCTTCCTGGGCCGTCCTGCTGGGAAGGCCAAAACCTTGTGTCCGGATCGAGTAAGTAGGTTGACTTGTGGTAGACGCACTGTTGCACACGAGGTCTGACGGGACGCCGCGTATACAGTCTCCCTCTTTGTCGGGCCACCTGCTGGCCTCGACGGCTTTCGTGTTCGATGGCTTGAGCAAGGGGGTCGGTGATGAGTGAAACCCGTCCGGCAAATTGACCGGGCCCGGCCTGTTCGGTCCACGCTGCTGTTGTGGTTGTGATTTCTACTCCGTACTATTGTTGCTGTCAGTCAAGAATGGTTGGTTAGATAGATGCACCAACGTAAAGTTGCGCCGGATGCTAGCGAATGGCGCACGAGAAAGAAAAAAAAAAGCTGGATGATCCGTGGCCAAAGGGAGGGAGGGTGAAAAGTGCACGTTGCTGCAGGAACTGAGCTGCAAACAGATGCGATGATCGAGAGGGCGTAATCACAATGCTGAGAGATGAGATCCAGGTCAGCAGGATCAGACGGCAGGACAAGATCGGCACCACGTCGTCCAATGGTTGGTGTCAAAGTACGTAAAGGGTGTTGTGTATGCAGCATGATACATCAAGAAGAAAGCCTCGAAAATCATGTGAGAAACCGGATGACGAAAGACGCTGAACGAGCTGTCCTTCAGCCAGGCGCAATGTTTGTTTAATTCCCATCACGACACCAGGAGTGCAGGTGCCGACATTGGATGAAGGTGGGAAAGTACCTTAAGTGTTGGATGGCGAACATGTTCCTTTCTAGGCAGAACTTCAGTGCTGGGAACCTGGGAAGTAAGGATGAGAAAAGGACGAAAGCCAATTGTACGTATCTGCGTTGATGAGACGGAAGGAACCATCAACGTCAGACGTGGCAGGACCCGAGCTGACCTCTATGCCTTCCCGCTCAAATGTACAGAGTACGTCAGGCTTAGAAGAGAAAGCGTCAGATGCAAAGTGGCAGTTCCAACTTCCAAATCGACTCACGAGTCACATAGCTGCTTTTCGATTTCCAATTCACCCATTCATTTATCCTCAGACACGGATAAAATGACCGTGTTCAATTTGACCTCAGCTGGGAAGAGACAACCCCGCGGCGCGCCTTACCACCAGCTTGCCTGCCCTGCCCTGCCAACCAGACCGTCTAATAGACTTCAGTCAACAGAGAGACAGTCAGCTTGCTGTGGTGAGATCTGGAGTACATGATGTTCCAGAGGGAGAAGGAATGTCTGTCTGATCTTCGGCCTGGCATGCTCGGCTTTACAGCACTTTCCCTTCCAATCAAGCAAATCACAACCTTGGTTGACACGGTTTGGTTGTTTCTTGATCTTCCCCTCCCCTGACTCTCTCCAACATCATACATGGCAGACGGCTAATGGTGATTCAGGTACCTATCTGTAGGCTTGCAGACGCCAATGAGCCATTTGCTTGGGTCCAATAAGCCAAGAGAGCCGCTGTCCGGGGGTCATCCGAGCCCAGTGGCATTTACATTTGGATTGAGGGGAAAGTTTCAAGTACATGCCCCGTCACCAGCAGCAACTAAGAATAAGCAAGGTTGTGGGAGAAAGGCTAGGAATACCAACGACATGAACACAGCCAACGTCTATCGTTCTGCCTATTCTCCGAGAGTTTGCGATACATTGGAGCATGAGAATAGCGAAACAGAAGCCAGAACAACAGACACACAAAGCATGCGGAAATAGGCTCCGTTTCGTACGCCGCAAAGCACGCGTCCATTCGGCAGTCCGGGCTTTTCATTGCAACGGTACGCGA